TGAAGAGTGCACCACATGCCAAAAAAAAGTATGGTGTGGGATTATCTTTCCTGGAACGGGGTCAGGAAGAATAGCTCTCCTTCAATTAAAATACACCTGAGAACTTGATATGAAAGGCTACAGGTTGCTTATTCCTGTTTTCAATATAGTGAGTCAGAATTTCCAAGGGTAGAAGCCTACAGGAAGAGTTTAAAGGTAGAATGTTTTTGCAGGAATTGAATGCAGCCAGCTTCTCTGCTTATTAAAATCTTGCAGGGGTGAAAAGCAGACATCTCTGAAGGAGGAAAACAAACTTTTGTTTCAGAAAGCTGATAGTTTTACTACCTCTTTTGCTGCCAGGATAAGGTCCTCAGCTGGCATAAATAGCAAAACTCTATTGAAGTGTGTGCAGCTGTGCCAGGTAACACCTGCCTGAGATCAGGCTCTCAGACATGTAGTCAGGGTGCCTTCCCGCTGTCAAACTCCAGAGCAGCTCCTCAATGAAAGCAGGTCTGAAGTCATAGCCTGGCATGTGACAAAGCATCTACCAAGTCCGTTACTCCAAGTGGCTCTCTTAAAAAGCTCATTGCTTCAAAGAAATTATGAGCAAGCCACTAACTTTTATCATTTCTCTCTCTCACCTCCTCTTTGCATTTTTCCTTAAACTAAACCATATTAATTTTGAGCTATAAAGCCTTATAAAAGCCTGCAGAAATTAATGAGCTAAAACTGGCAATATGCAATAATGTGTGTCAAATAAAAATACAATCAGCATTTTTCCCAGAATTGCCAACACCTTAGAACTTTGCAGTAAACCAAATCTTTTTAAAGCAGTGCAACAAATGTAAACTCTAAATTTGCCAGCAGTAGGTGGATTGCAGATGCAGTAAATCTGGTTTTGTTGTACCATCCAGGTAAATAATCCTGTATGTCAACAAAATCCCAGTAAGCTGGCTGTGTATCACTGTATGGTCCAAGCAATGTGAAGATAACTTGTGAAATTTAGGAATCCTTTATTGTTCAGTTTTCTCCCTTTCTGTTCCTTCTTAATTCAGCTAATAAAAAGATGTAGAGCTCTTAATAAGATCATGCTCAACCTTCACTGAAAACTCTGGAGCATTAGTGGGCTTAGTTTTAATTAGCTAAGGGTCAGTTTTCCCCATCCAGGCTGTTTTCTCTGAACATATGCTGTGTTGTGGTTCACATGTTTTATGGAATATAACTATCTGGATATCCTGCGTGCTGTGCTCTAAGCTATTTGCATAGACTGTAAATCCTCAAGAAGTTTGCAAACTAAGAATTTTTGAACAAATATATTTACTAAGGACCTGATCCTCTAATTAGTGCTGCACAGGTAAATTCTTAGATAGATCGTTTTGCCTCAAGGGTCCAACTCTGCAGATTTTCACTCAATAAACAGTAAAGGATGCAAGATCAGAGCCTCAAGAATCAAAGAAAATAGTTTTTAAATGCGGTGTCTTTGATTAAACATACCACAGTGAATTTGGACTAAGATCTGATTCTAAGTGAATTCATCACTCTTACACTGGTTTAATCTGCAGTGTGGGGGGAAAATTGGGCCAATGAGACCAAAATAAACATTTTGCTCAGATCTGCCTCCTTATCTGACATTGGAGGATCCCATAAAGAAATGAAAAAGAGCGTTGAAATACAGTTACAAACTTCAAGGTTTTTATTGCTCTTATCAGGACAGCATATAAGATGGCTGTGTATATGATGCATGTATGTGGTCCTTGACCACAAAACTTAACATGAGAAAGGAAAGTGTTGACACTTGATAAAGAAATAGGTTCCTCCCAGCCAGCCACCCACAAATACAGTGTGTGTAGCAATCGTCTCCTAATGTGCTTTTTTTCCCTCCAGATATATGTGAGTGCTCTGATCTTTTATTTGGCTCTTTAATGCATCCGTGCAAATGAAATTACTATTCTGGGATGTTGCTAAAACATTAAAGTGGCTTTTTTGCATTTGCACTGGCTGGCTTGAAATTAGTTCCATAGGGAGTCTCGAAAGGGGATCCGTCCCATCGCAAAATTGTTGAGGATATAGATCTAGCGAGGGAAGATCGGAAGAGGTGTTTGACTTTTGGGGGGTTGCCTGAAACTCCTCTTTCAGCTCTAATGTTTCCTCTGCTGGATTCCCCCTCTTGCCTTGGAGTCTAACTTTCCAGTACCTAAAATAAGTAGAGACAAACTGATCAACTCTGGGCCGTGCGCATATGGTTTGATAAATACTGAGCGGCCTGGAATCTTGCATGGCTGACACTTTGTTTCCAGCTTTGTGGTAAAGAGCTGAATAGAAAGGAGAAGGCAGCAAGTCTTCAACTGCACTCGCCAAGAACATCTGCATTTATGAAAACTTTCCCTAATTGAAAATCTAGTAGTTTCAAATGCTGTAGACTGAGTTTGGAAACTAGCTCAGGGGCTGCTAAGATAGCAAGAAGCAGCAGTGGTTTTGAGCCCCCAGTTCAGGTCAATTCCCACCCTCCTCCTTGTAATTTGGGCATTCAGGATGTGCTAATAACATCTTTACAAATTCTAACAAGGGAAAAAGTCTCTCTTTAGAGTTCAGAAACAGTATTCGGTGGTTCTTCTCTAACTCCCTTTCCTTGCCATCTCCCCTGCCCCCATTTCTCCTCCTCCTCCTCAATATTTCCTCCTGGTTCTTTGAGATCTACTACACCAAAAATATTTTTGGAAATACCACAGACTATTGTTTTTATTAGTGACTGGAAAGCTTTGTAGTAGGATGCTTTTGTGTTTCATTTGTTTTCCTTGCTCTGGCACAGCTGGTTTTGTTTTAGCAGCATTAGAGAGATGGTTAAACTATTTGTGGCCTTTCCTAACCCAGCAGATCTCTTCCACTGAATGCTTTAAACTGAATGACTGAAACTGTAACTAACAGGTTGTCTGCGTGGGCAGTTCTGTGCATAAAGTTGCAAATACACTGGGTTTATGAGATCTTTTAATTTGTTCAGCAAAATACTGATCACTGTGAAGCAAGTCCCAGTTTCCCTATAAATTTCCCAGCCAGAACACTGACAGAACCTTGACTCAGGAAGATACAGAACAGATGAAGCAGTAGATCTTGTTCAAACCTATGCGCGCTCAGAAATGATTAATGGAAAAGAGGTTTATGTAGGTGTGCCGATCCCCACCTTAGCCAAGAGGGAATAGGAAGAAAAGCCACAGCAGGTGGTGGGACAGAATGTGGTCTGAGGACAAATCTGCCCAAGGTGGTATGTAGCAGATACGAGTGCCTAACTGGCCACTGTGGTTACAAGGAGGAAGATGGGAAATTAGGAAACAGGCATCCAGTCAGAGAAAGGTGACAGCAGAAAGTAGCAAATGAAGAATGAAGTGAACAAAAAGTAAAGTAAGATGAAAAACTAAATGGAGAGTGAAAACATAATACATCTGTGCAAAGGCACCTTAAAAACAAAGAGAAAAAGAGGAAATTAGTTGTACTGGAGGCTTCAGTGTTCATGTCTGGTGACATAATGTAAGTGATATTGAAAGTATGGGCTGATGAATGGCAGGAAAATGAAAGTTAAGAGCATAGCTGAGATGTGTCCTGCTAAATCCCAGTCTTACCACATGTTCCCACCACCTCTGGTGAGCAGGCGCAAGCAGCTGCACAGTGATTAGGTTTAGAGAACCGATCTGTTTGACATTGGTTTGGCAGTTTTCTTTCTGGCAAGGTCAGGCAGATGATGGACCTGGCTTAATTCATCGTGTGGCTGTGTGAACCTAGGACTGGTACTGGGGAGGGGGTGGGAAAGAGCAGCATGTGGGTATGGGGTAGGTGGCACCATCCCTGTCAGCACCTTCTAGCATTGGAAGAGCAGCACATATATCAGCTTGCTGATGAAATATAGTGCAGGTGGAATGGGGAAAGGACATACTATATCTCTTACCTACAGGGATGCTGAGTGTGGCTCTTCCCTTTTGTATGCAATGGGTGGGGAACCAACAGCACTTGTCAGAAACCACCTCCTTAGTGACACTGCAAAAGAAAAGACAGATGAGTTTTCAAGCACATTTTTTCTCTGCTGTTTTTTGTCTTTTTCCTTCATTAAAAATAATTGTTTTCAACATTCCTGTCAGTTTTGCTGGGTGACACATCAGTGCATTCCTGACTGAATGAGGCCAGGAGCAATGCAGAGAACAGAACTTGTGTCTGAAAGTCTTGAATGACTAAAGTCTGTTGTCAGATGATGATATTGAGGTAATAACAGCAAGATAAGAGGACAGAGAAACTGAGCAAGGGTTTACATATGTAGGTGCATATTAGAGTAACTGGAGTTATGCTGAATGTTGGTAACACTCTGCAGAAGATCAGACCTTGTGTGATAACAAAGTTTATTGCATGCTTTTCCTCTGTCTAAAAAATTGCAACAAAAGCATCCGTTTGAGCTGACCCAAAATGTAGTATTTTCTACTTTAAGCTTTACTGCAGTCACAGAATAATTAAAAAAAGCCTAATGTGTATGCACAGAACTAGCTAATATAAAAGAGGACCCCTGTGGAAAATTGTTAATGAGAAACGGTATGCATATGCTGACAGCTATATCAACATCTGTAGACATTGGTTGTTTCCCTTTATAATGAATATGTTGAAAAGACCATACTCTATTTACATGTCCTGTATCCACAGAGACATATAACTACTTCTCTATAGGTGCGTGTCATTCAGTAGGCTTTATTCAGCGCAATACAATAAAGGGAATTGTTCATCTATCTATCCCCAGAAGACATACTGTTTCTGCTGGTGGGAAAGCACCTCACAAGTACAGCAGTATCAGTCATCTGTCCTACAATGCCATAATAATCAACATAGTTGCATTTAGCTCATTCCATGGTTTTCTTCTGAATCAAATAGCAACATATCCATTTCAGCCAAACTTTTTTGAACTGTTACCCACAGCCCTGTTTCTTGCCTGTTACTAGACTCTGGTTATGATCTTTGCACTGACTGTTCTCCTGACTGACTCATTGCAGGCCTCCAAAGAGTGCACCAGCTGGGGAAAAACACAAGGTACTTCAGACGACGACTGCATGAAATGGGCTTCATCATTTATGGCAATGATGATTCTCCTGTTGTCCCATTACTCCTTTATATGCCTGGTAAGATAGGGTAAGTATGAAAAAAACCCAAACTATTGGCAAAATAAACACTATCCAAGTTCATAGGTTATTTGGTGTACACTGTGAAAAGTGTAGTTATGTGTGGTAGATGCTTCACAAGAGAAACATACATCATTAGGTGAATTCATCATTTAGTTATGTTCTATTTTAAATTTGGCCCTGGACTTAGTTTTGAGCTGTTCCAGTATTCAGAATTTTTAAAATTTCTCCTATCCATTTTTAACTTGCTCTGGAATAATACTTTTGATAGTATTTTGAATTTGGATTTTTTTTTTTTTTAATTTGTAATCATGAGAAGAGATACATTGTCTTTGATGTATGAATTGTTTTGGATGGATGTTCTTTTTCCCCATCTGATCTTCGACTGGTCTTTGCATGTTTTACCATTCAGTACCTATCAAGCAGCACCTGTGCACTGACTTGGACATGCAGACCAGAAGTCAGTAGCAGCATAAGGTAAGGGTTGAGCTGTAGGGAGTATTTACAAGTAGATTAGGGTGGCTATGTGCTCTAGGTCTAGTACATACCACGCAAAAGGTTCCTAAACTGGCAGAGTAATTGCGAGAACAAAGAAGCCATCACACAAATTGTTTTATTCCTGTTGATGTGCAGGAACCCAGCTCTCATACCTTCCAGAAGCCCAACTTCCATGCTTAGGGACTGTGAATGCCCACACATTTTGATTTGCACTCAAAGCCTTTCATTGACATAACTGAATCATGTCTGTTCTACAGTACTCTCTCTGCCATCACACTTCTAGTATTTGACAACCACTTGGCTTCATGAGCTGTTAAGCAGCAAAGAATCTCAGTCCTACTGGTAAAATTCTGGCTGTTATTGAATTCAATGGGAATATTACCATCCACTTCAATTGGAGGCAGCATTTTACCCATTGTTTTATTATACTTGAATGTTTTCTCTCTGTGGTCAGTTTATTGGAGATAATTTACTTCTGTTTTATTTCTTCTTCTTCTCTCCTTAGGGCTTTTGCAAGACGCATGTTAGAAAAAAATATCGGGGTGGTTGTGGTTGGGTTTCCAGCTACTCCTATCACAGAATCCAGGGCTCGGTTTTGTGTGTCAGCTGCACATACACGGGAGATGTTAGACACGGTAAGCACAGCAGATGTCCTGCTGAAATTAACTTCAGATGCAAAGGAGGTTGGGAGAAGCTGTGTGTCTGTTACTTTCAATCCCAATAATTCATTTTTACATTTGTTTTTCTGGCCTTGCCACTTCATCTTTAAAGGCATTTTAGCCTTATATATTTTATTTTTTAAAATTAATTATGGGACAGTTAATTTGTTTTGTTCTTCTATTTCTAATAGTGACCAAATCTGTCAGCACTAATAAAGACCTACATGAAGAGCACAGCAAGACAAAAGTTAAATGCTAGGTCAAAACTATCATAGTAGTAGGAAACCTGCAATGATATGGAAATAATTGAAAATTGAGTTTTCCATAACCTTATTTTCGTTCCATATTTCCACGTGTTTCTTGAATTGCAGAAGTATATGGGACAGCCTTGGGGGTACAGGTGGAAATACCAAACTGTTTGGAACTGTTTGAACCTAATGAAGTTTAACTGGTGCTGTCTGGCCTGTCTCAGTTCTGTATCTTTCTCTGATATCAGAAATACTGTTAAGAGTATGTTAAGACTTCCATCTTAAATCTCCATTCCAACACAGTCAGAAATGTGTTTAAAATAAACTCTTTGAAATTTTCCATCTCCCTTTCTTGCCGAAGGTGTTTTTGGCCTGGCTTGATGTACATTCTTTCATTCTCAGAATAAGCCAACTTAGAGGCATGAAACACAGAGGCTTAACATTAAATGTCAGGCTTTCTTTTTCCTCTCTTTGCACAAGTATGATGGTCAAAGCAAAAAATCCATGAACATGGAAGGCATTCGAGTTAAAGATGCCATTCCTTCATGCAGACAAGCACCTGTGCCTGCAGAGAGCCCCTGGCTCTCCATTTGCATCCTGAGATTCATGTGGAGCTTGAGGCCAGACCCCTGCCCGGCTGACCAGTTCCCACACCAGTGTAGACCCCTCTCAAGCAACATGGAAAAATCTGCCTTACATGTGTGCAGTGTAAAATTCCTGCTGCTCGTAAAGGTGCAGTAATTATTAACAAGGTATAATACCATAAAGATAATATTGCACGGAACAGGGCATAGGTACGTACTTGTCTTGGTCGTTGCCAGCTTTCTGTGTGTGTAGATTTTGGCTTATGTAACTAGCAATCGGCGATGAAGTTGATCTGAAGACTAATCTCTCAAGGTTACTGCTTTGATTTTCTTCCTCTCTCCCTACCCCCAGATGTCAAGCCCATTACATTTTGAGGCCATCATTGCATCTTCACTTCCTGCTACCTGCCCATTGCTGCTTCCTGGTAGCAGTGAAGGTCTGAAACACTCCCCAGCCATCATTCTTGAACATACTGTATTTTTGCCTTTGAAAGTGGGATCATTGCCGTAGTACTTGTGGCATTCTTTAAATGTTCTTACAGTATGGGGGAATGGAAATGCCCTGAATTTAATTACTTGCAGATGGAAAGGATTTAGGACAAACATTTTGTGAATGTGCCTAAACCCAGGGTAACAACAGGTAACAAGCACAATGAAAACTTTTCCCTTTGGCAAAATTTGTTTTGAATCTCAGCCTGGAACTAAAAAGAGGAACAATCCATGAAAGGGCAAGCTCCCAAGAATAACTTCCTTAATGACCTTGAAGCTATCTCTCTGCATAAACCATTGCTAAATTACTCCTTTTTGTTCTTGAGCTCATTTTAGTGGCTTAACAAAAACAGGCTCAAAATCAAAATTGCTGTTTTCTGCTTTGATGCCAAAAGGTTGTCTGCTTTTGAATGTAGATCAGATGCTGCAAAACAGTGAGCTGCTTCTCTATGGTATAGTGTTCCCTGGCTACTTCTGAATCTGCTGAGAGCTAGGGATGCAGCTCAGCAAATTGCATTACAATATTAATGCATTTTTAATTAGGCCTGTGATATTAATACAAGAAGATAATGGAATGCACTAAAAATATCTCAAACTGTTCAGACTATTTATGATGACTCTGATCAGCACTGTGGGCTGAGTCTCATCTAAGAAAATGCAGTGGCAACTCGAGTCTTTGGGATCTATAGGGAAATATTGAAGTTTTGCCTTACACATCCTTTTTGCACAACCAAAGATAACTTTTTGTCTGGATTATTATCTCCCTGTGCTTTTAGAAAAAGGTCATTTTTTTTCATCTGTCCTCAATTAATATACCTACTAATAAACCATAACCTACTGAAGGAATAATTTCTGTTCTTGTAGATGCTATTGTACATCTATGACTGCATTGATGTTCACTACAGGAGAATGAAAGCAAAATTTGCCTGTTTGCCCTTCAAACTTTCTGTAACTGATGTTTTTATGATCTTCTTGTTCTGCAGTAGAGGTTACTAGAACTTCATTTCTTTTCTAAGAGAATTGACACACTATAATGGTCTTACAGGTTTTGAATGCTCTGGATGAATTGGGTGATTTTCTACATCTGAAATATTCCCGGTATTCCAAGTCATCTCATCCTGAACTGTATGAAGAAACTAGGCTTGAACTTGAAGATTAAGTTTTCCACCCATGAAGAGAACATTATGTTGCTATGAAAAGGGGGAAAACCCAAAAACTAAAAAACACTAATGCATTTCTTCCCTTCTAAGGACAATTTTTGTTACGCAGTTTATTGAAAGGAGGGGAAGCTCAGGTGTTGCATTTTATTGTATCAAATTTCTGTATTCAAGAGACTGAAATATCGATACAGATTTGCCTCCCCAGGAGATCTGTCCTTCTTATGGTATTTTTGATGCAGAATGAATGCATCCATTGATCGAGTTGCTAATGTTCAGCTTTTGTTATGGCCCCTTTTTATGAAGAGGCTTCAGATAGTCTTAATTGTGACTGAAATAATAAAGTTTAAAAACTGAATTTATTCCAGTGTAGTATGGTAATATAGCTCAGCTTCATCAGTGAGATTGCTTTTATCTGTTAAAGAGCATAAATCAAGACATTGGTGTGGACTGCTATAGACAAATAAGCAGAAAGTAACCTCTTTAACTAAGTTGCCCTATCATGCATTTCTCCAAGGACAGAAAATATTAGAAGGTGGCTCATGGTGAGAACAAGAAAAGTAGCCTGATCAGATCATGTATTTCAGACAGCAGATTATGGGAAAGGGAAAATGCCTCCTCCACTCCTCAGACCCTTTCTCAGCTATTTAAATACACTGTAAGCTTCATAATGTACAAAAATTTGGGCTTAGACATAAACAGAAATGCTTTTCTGCTAACCCATTTGACCCACAGCCTATCACATCTTATCACAGTGTAAGCTCTTCAGCAGGCTTGCTCCCTTTTTGTGTAGCAGTAGTAAATAATTTTAATAACCATTTAACTTTCCCGTAAAAACCTTGATCAAAACAGTCAGATACTTGCAGTTCACAAACTGCAGATGACATTTATGGGCCCATTCCTAAGTTTCTTGAACTAGTTATGGGCTTAATAAATTCACTAACAAGTACATAATTCTGAAGCTGTCAGTTATACAGAATGTGAAGATCAAGATGCCGTAAACAGTTCTGCCACCTGTTAAATTGAAAACTCCACCATTTCTAAATGTGCTAAAGTAATCCACTTAATAACATTTCTTGACATATTCTTGTCTGGTTTATGCATGTCAGGGGTTGTTTTACTTGGCTAGTTGCAGACTTTTGACTGGTTTGTTTTTCAAATAATTGATTATATCAACTGAGGGGGAAGATGTCCTTGTCCCCTTTTCCACTGCCTGAGTGACAAATGCTCAAAGATACTTGAAGGAATTGTTACAGCCGGCAACTTCCCTGCAATGCCTGCAGCAGCATTATCATCAGGTTTATGTGGGCTGAGTTGTCTGAAGGAGATTGGAGGCTTTTTCCCTTTTCTGCAGCGTTGAAAAGTGGTTCTGCAGCTTTAAGAATGAACTCCAAACCATTCCACGCTATCAAATGTCATTGTAAACACATCAGATGAGAGATGTTTAGCTTTCTGTTGCACAGATGTACCACACTTTCATGTTCTCTTGAAAGCTGTGGTGTAAACTTAACCCACAGCTGCAATATTAGATTTAAGAACAGAACAATTAAATTGTGGAATACCAATTACACTATATTACTCCCTGCTTGTTAAAGCAGCTTTCAGGCTGTAACAAGGCTGATTGGTTATGAGGGCCCATTTTTTGTTGGATTTTTGTTGTTGTTGTGCAAGTTAATAAAAATCCAGTGGTGCTATAACTTTAAGAATTGATTACAACACATTCCATAATATCAAATGTTGGCTTTAGGAAACATATATCAAGGGCTGGGGGAGGACTAAATGGTGTCATATGATTCTTCGCTTTGGTAGACAGACTTGAAAAACATTGCAGAGGTTCAAGGGAGCTGTGTTTGTGGATAAAAGCAAACTCACTGTATAAATACTAAAATACTCAAGCACAGGACAAGAAGAAATTAGGATAAGTGAACTTTGTCTTTGACTAACCTGGCAATTTGAGATGTACAGCTTTGTTACATGCAGGGTGAGTGCACTTACTGTGAAGGAGATAGGTTGAGAAATTTCTGCAACCTGTTCCTTGAGGAAAAGTACTGAATTTGATATACTGCGTTTTGGTCTCTCTTGTCGAACATCTGCGGCCAGATCCTCAGTTGACTTCTGACCTACCATCTTGGGGTATACGGCCATAGTTTATGTTTCAGCAAACATTATTACACGTGCTGTTGCAGGCAACATGCTATTTCCCTCAAAGAGAGGCCTGAGACTGATTAAACAACAGAATGATCACTTTTTTCCCCCTATAGGGGAATGTTTTCTGTTTAAAGCCAAATTCTTCCTGCCCTCAGAACATTACTCTCTCTCATATTAAGGAGACAGGACAGCTATTTTTCAGAGACTGTCAGTTGATTTATTATATGCTCTCGTCTGATTTCTTCCATCCCTTACACATTAGAGAAACTACAGGCTGACTGTCCCTGGGCTTGGGGAACAGTTAGGGAGAAATCCCTGCTCCACTGGTGTAATAATAAACTCCCAGGAACTTCAGACTTTTAGGTTTTTCCCCATGGGGCTTAGTTATGGTCTGGCACTGGCTTTTCCACCAGTGTAATTTCAGTGGAGTTTTTCCAGATTTACATCAATTTTAATAGATTTAGAGTTGATCAGCACTTGGAGACTCTATTTTAGCTAGCTTAATCAAAAAACTGATGGAGTACTTATTAGGGAATTAGTACATCTAGCATAAGGATCACATATTTCCTAGAATATACTCCATCTTCAGGCATGCATGTTCTCAGGAGATGGAGTTCTCTGTAATTGTTTTAGAAGGTTTTGAAGAAGAGCTGCCTTTAATAAATAAAAATTGCTCAAGTTGTCATATTTTAATCCAGTGGAAATGTAAGTATGAATACACTAACTTTTTGTTAGCAGGCTGCAATTCCAGCATCTTGTTATCGTACATAAAATCTTGATTAACCTTCATGCTATGGGAAGACTTAAGAGTTGTCTGTTTGACAGAGTATCTGAATTGTTTGCCCTTTCCTGTACCTTTATCCCACCTCATCTTTTAGAAAGCGTTCCTTTCCTGAGCTTATCAAACTTGTCAAGGTGTTTCCCCCATCCACTTCTCCTGCCTCTTTATGTTGTTCTCTCTGTTCTGCTGGTTTCTGTCCTCTGGGTCTAGGGGAAAGCACACTGGCAGCTGCAGAGGACCTGAAGTGTAACAGTTGGCTTTTTAGGAATTGCCTCACTCTGCCTGCTTTTCCAGGTATCCGCATCAGCTTCTGCAGACTTCCATCTTTCCTGTTCAAAAAAAAGTTTCCTACTGATGGTGCTAAATTTCTAAGCTGAACCAAATCTGAACTGGCCAAGCTGTTGAACCAAGAATGGGCTTGATCTATCACTCATGCAAGTGTAGATCCAGTTAAATCTTGCTTTGAAGACAATACTGTTGGTTTAAAACGAGTGCAACCATGAGAGCAACCTGTCACCATGAGGTGAGCTGCCTGCATTTATTTCAGAGGGGTTTGAAAGCTGATGTCTCTGGACTATTTCACAGCCACTGCTTTTCACAGGGGACCAAGATATGGGAGTGGATTTATTTAAGGTAGGATTTCAGTTTTCTTTTATTTCTTTTTTTTTCTTTTTCCAAAAAAATGTGTGTGTTTGAAGGTGCATCACGTACTTTCCTGTCCTGCTGAGAAAGGGAACAAAGTAATGCTGTGAAAAAAGCAATCTACACTAAAGGTGTTTATGTACTTTCTAGCCTGCTTCAAAATCCAATAGAGATTCTCTAATATATGATCTGCTTTTTATTTATGCATAGAGTTTAATTGTTAAATTAAAACACAGATCAGTACCAATTTTTAAAGAAACCACACCACCAGCTGAAAAATGGCAGATGTCATTCCAATATTGGCAGCTGAATGTTTGAGCCTCCAGAGGCCTTCAAAAAAGGTATCTGTGTGTTTCCTTCATTTACTTACACATCCGGTGTTTTTTGTGCTCACTGCAGACCAGTCACAAGATAATGAGATTCTTACTCTATCTATTAGTGAGACAGAACTTCAGACCTGTCAGGATGGTCCCAAAACCACACCCAAGTGACCACACAAAATAATAATTTGGCACCATCAGAAGAGGAGTCTGGGGTCTGAATCAGACTGGTTGCTCAGCAGCTACCTAAGAGGTGAGCGGTTTCTTTCCACATACGTAGTATGTCAGTGACAATGACATAAGGGAGCAATGTTAAATCCATTTATATCACATGCTAATCAAATGCAAAGGGTAATGTAGAGGCACAGGATCTGGAGAGACATGGTGGACCTGGAGACTTAGACTAGATCCAGTTATGTGCAAAGAAATTTTTTTGTGCAAGTGTTACAGGAGTTATTAAATCTTCTTAACCATCTAGGTGGAAAAATTGGTCTTTAATATCAAAATAGTGACTGCGAAGCAGGCAAAGAGAAATACTGCACCCCAAGTGCTACTCCAGTTTGTTTATGAACAGAAGGCAGGGTATATAGGGTGCCATAGCAGATATCCCTGATACTTGGTACTCTATTTCATTTTGTAGATCTTTTTTGGAGAGACACTTCTGCCAGATGCTATGCCAAGGCCAACAAGTATTAATTGTTATCAGTATACCTGAGTTCAAAAACTTGTGCTGCAGGGGTTACCAGGTTTGCAGTAATGCTGGAGCCACCATCTATAGAGAACAGTGCTGATGCTGAAAATTGTTCAGACATCATTCTAGTGACAACCATGTACAGCATGACTGACAACTGTGATGCCCTCATTGGGCATCGTTGCTGGGATGCCACTGCTGGGAGTGGCTGTGGTATGGTGACAACTGCCTGTGCTGCTCTGCCAGGTTTAACTGATGTGACTCCAGGACAGGCATGACAATATGTCCTCTTCTTTGCAGATACAGAAGGACATGGCCTGTAGGTCACTCCAGCAGATGAGTTTCTTTCTGGCAAATCAGCTCAACCAGAAGGTGTAGCCATGAAAGCAGGACACTGTAGAAAGTCTAGAAAATCGATTCTCACAAGTAAGTCAAGTACTTGCAGTAACAGACAGAGAAATTTTGGTATGTGTGACATGGAGCAATGGTACTAGATGTGATGGGTGAAGCTTGCTTTTCTATGACCTCTGTTGAAATGGTCTCAAAGAATTTGCTATGAATGTGAGCTGACTCTAGTATCCTGTGAATGGGCCAATGTATATATATACTCCAGTTCCTGGAGAACTGATCTCTCATGCTATGAAGTACTGTCATGTCTATTGTCCTTATCTTCAATAGCTCCTTTTCCACTCCCAGCACAGCAAGCAGCAAGTCTATCTTACCAGTTCAAAGCACAGCATAAAGTGGACAGCTAAGCCTATTGGGTCCAAT